CGGTTATCTTTATTTCATGAAGAGTGGTAACTGAAGCCAAGTCGATGCACAGTCATTTTCTTAAATCTATGAATATGCTTTACACTAAATGCTTGTTGGGAAATAAATAAATATAACGAGAGTCAGCTTTCCTGTAAAATTAATAAAATAATATATTACAAGGCAAAGTTTGCAAACGTCGAACATTATATTACACTCTAATAATAATTAAAACACCAATGTTACACAATGCAGTCGACCTACATTCAGAATTATCGAAATATCAACAATCCTACAAATATTTATTGATATGTGAAATGCGATACATGTTTTACTCTTTCACTACTTCATTTAACTTGCTGCGTTGCCAAATGTGAGCATTTATACCTAAAATCTCCTACAGGTGTTGGTAGGCCCTAAATAAATTAATTTCATAGTAGATTTATGGGATTTAAGGGATTTATAAAAATAAATGAAACCGTGACATTTTCAGTAAGCATCCGTTACCTAGAGAGAAACTATGCTCCCAACCAGTCAGTCGCTGTGTTAGTTCCACTTTCCAGCGAAGAATGACACGTATAGCAGATAATACCCACCAATTTCAAATGAGGGCAGGCTAAAGTGGGCCAAGAACCACTTAGTCTTATTTCTATTTGGCACACGAAAAAAAAACGTGTTAAAGTTCCTACAAACGACGATCTACCTGTCGCGATTTTAAAACAATTGAAGGTCCGCGCAGGAAATAGTTAACCTTAAACTTATTTTAGAACCGCCTAATTACCGGTGATAAACAATTGTTTGGGGCGTGACTGTGAAAATAACCTCAGATTTATGTTTTGGGCTATTCTCTCACTTGGTTGAGTGTACAAGGTGTAACTTTAAGTCGGGGTCAGTGTTTTAAAGGTGTTTTTCAGAATTTTAACCTATAAATTAATTTTCTGAATAAAACAAATAGCCACGCTTGTTTAAACCAAGTGTATGAAATTGTTACTATTTTCTGGAAAGCACTGTGTTTAGTTTTTGAATGTCAGGGTCAATGACTTCTTACATTAACCTACTATAGGTGAACTACATATCAATGCACCTGATGTGATATGACAACATGGCGCTAGGCTGGCGAAAAAGAAATGTCCAACGTTAATTCGGCAAAGGAGAATCGCTCAATAATTCTCCGCTTCATTTTATTACATTTATTAGTTTCCAGGTTAACAATTTATGGGAAGGATGAAGTATTAGTTTTTATTACAATCGAAATAGAATTTGAATAGTGCAGTGTTGTGTTGTAGGCACCACTAACGGTGTCAGCAAAAAAAATACCTTTCCATGAACATAACCTCAAATATGTGAACAAATCTCGATTTTGGCACTTTTAGGTTAGGATATCTCGAAACCCAGAGCCAACTGAGAAATTTGGACCTCGGATTCGAGTTCAGCGCCCCAAAATTCTTGAGGAAAAGATATTCGTGTTGTTGGCCTGTGTTATTGACTTCGAAATTTTGTTCCCAGGGGTTGGCAACACTGGGTGAATGTTATAAAAACAACAAAAATGCAACCCAGCTTTTTATTATTAATAATAATTGTACCCGAGAAGTAACTATTACACATTCTTGATACAAAATTGGCGATTTAAATAAGTAGGTCAAGATTTTTAATTAAAATATAATAGATTAGAAATGTTCAAGTTTAATGCACATTTGTAGGGCGCCAAATAGTACATATTTTATTTTACTACTGTTTATTTTAACCTTTTAAGTCGGTATTATCCTTGATGCCATCTTTTATTTACGTTTAAGCGACAGGCGGCGTTAAAATAGGTCGTCCGCATTTTTTTTACAAAAACCGCACACATTCTACACTTCCCCACAAATCGAAGGTCTACTACATCGAATTGCTCGATGAAATAAATAAACAATAAGGTAGGAACGCCTTGCCTTGAAATGATACTTGAACTTAATTAAGGATGAATAAGAGAAAAAAGTAACACGTCGAACGGAACGATGAATGAATAGAAAGAATTGTGGTGTTGCGAAGCGGAAGAGAGCTGATGTAGAGAATCCTTTGGGAAACCACCAAGGCGTAACCACAGACCACATCCTCCACATGCTGATTTATATACAATTTTTTATGACATAAACATGTGCCATTAACTCTGACCTTTCGTAAAGCGTGCGGGCGGATATATTGGCAAAAAGAATAATTTTCCATTTACAAGTTGACCCTTGAGGCAATGGGAAAAATATGATAGCGATGCCTAGATCAGAGGTCATTGTTTCATTGATATTAAGAAAGGTCGAATAAGCGACCTACATTTTTTATATATTTACAGGAAGAGAGAACAAGAAATTAATTCAACTAGTCCTGCCTTAGAATAATAACATACCGCCCCTACTCCCATTTTGTTATATGATTTATCGAAATCGATTAGGCCAGGAAATATAGAGTTGGACGCGACTTTTTGTTTCGGCAAGCTGAATTTATCACTATAGATGCTAAATATTATGTACAATAACATATTAGTTTCCACAGTCATAAAAATGGGGGAAAATTGTTTACAAGGTGGTTAATTGTATAATTTTTACGTAAATTCACGTTTTTCGCTTACAACTTTTTTCCGTTCATTTTCCCGAGAAAACAGTAATGTGCATTTTTTTCGTTTTCAAACCTGTATACAGGGTGATTCAGAATTTATCAAAAAAAAAAAAATTCTGGATGTACAGGGGACCCTTGCAAATACAATTTTGTAAAGAAAAAATCAAAAAGGGCAGTTCGAAAATTATTTAAAAATACACTTCTGCACGGCACTGGAAACTGGTCCACTGTAAAACCTGACCTCGCACAATGCGATCGGCATGGCAGTGTGATAAAAACGGACAAAAACTTTCGCAAGGAAAGAAATATGTAAATAGAATTTTATCGCACCTATTTTATATCGGCAAATTCAACTGCTTTTGCCTTTATTAATTAATAAAATTAATTTGTGTTTTTAAATAATAAAATCATTTGACATACCCGATGTTACAACAATTGTTCAAAATTTTATCCACCAATGTGTAAACACATTTGGGTCCGTTGTACTCAGTTTCTACGAACTAACACAAATGTTGTCTTGTTTCACCATAACACAAATGCTTCACCATAAATTAAAACGATATCCATCAACTCCGAGTACACGCAAACCATTTTTGACACTAACTACCCATTTTTGACACTAACTACTAAAAACCTATTGTAAACACCACAGATAACAGGTAAATATCGCAACGACGATTGCAAAATCCGAATTCAGTATTCGGAGTCGCTGAGGCCACGTGGCGAATGATGTTAGAGACTACAGTTGTCCAGTTATGTAGTGGTTGAATGTACTATAACTTCAATATTTTTTTTTCTCGGAAACTATAAGGATTTTACAAATTTTTTTTTTACAATATCGATTCCATTTCTCATGCTGCATCTATTCCCAAATTTTTTTGGATAAGTTGTGAATCACCCTATATATTACATATTTGGAAAGCTTATGAAAAGAGCTTTAAGTTAAAAAAAATCGTCAAGATTGGTTATTAAATTGTAACAATTCGTTATACTTGTAATAATTTATTGGTCAAATTTAAAATTGTCAACTTTTACAATCAAAATCAATCATAATAAGAGCAAATACATACAAGCTAGAATACAGTTCCAATATGTGTTAGATTAATGCATTTGCGATGACCAACGTTCATATACGTGTGTTTTTTAGACATTTATGTAAAATTTAAGATAAAAACATTTTTTAACGTAATTAAAATTGGTAACTATTAAATTAGCCCGGAAAACTGTTGAAGAATGTTGTGAGGCTAAAGACCAATAAAAGAATCAGTAGTATAGCAGGAGTAGCGTTGTCACAATCTGAGAAATAAATGAGTTTTAAATTAAATTCCAATTTAAATTATAGTTAAAATATACATATTTTAAAAGTGTGCATTACAAATAAATCGGTCTGAGTGAAATCAAAAAGGCCCTCCATGAAATTATTGAGTACATTTTCAAGTATTTATAAAATGAAGTCAATTAATAACATTTTTTTTTGTTTATCGTGTTTAATTGGAATTCCTCTTAAGTAATTGATGGTGGCGTACTACATAGACAGAGGCAGAGAGGGAATAATTCTGCGACAGGCAGAATCTTGGACAAAGTAGCAATTTTCACTAAATAGGATTCTGCAGTTCTGTAGTTATCCACATCCACTAGGAGTATCGAATCAACAATGAAAAGAAATATGGCTTTTTTGATGTTGACTCAATTTTTTTTGGTAAATTTATAGTAGCTAGGAAATAATAATAATAATAATAATAATAATAATAATAATAATAATAATAATAATAATAATAATAATAATAATAATAATAATAATAATAATAATAATAATAATAATAATAATAATAATATTTTCATCAAGTGATACATAAAATCTAAATTACATAGTTTCAATAAACGGGGCAAACAGTTAAGAGTCAACAGAACAGAACTGGTTCCAATTTTGACGATTTTTAGTAACTTTTAATTTATTTTGAATAGTACCAATTTCAGTGACATTCTACAATTTTGGCAGTTATTTTAACTTAAATTTAAATAGATTAAATATATATATTTGTCATTTCAGCTGGCACAAAAGTCTTGGTTCAACATCTATTATGATTTGTGGTTTGCTATTACAATTACCAATCTTCCATAAATTGCGACATTCAATATGTATCCGAAAGGATAAATTTTAGTTACACATTACGATTATTTTGAAACCTATTCATATTTAAAGAACAAATTATGTAGCAAATATTGACATTTTTCACCAATAATTGAATAAAAGAATTGAAACCTAAACGTAAAACAAATTTAAATCAATAATTTATATATCAGTACTCATTTTTTCAGTCTGATCCTTTAAAAGATCCAAACTGATTTCTTTCTGAGGTGTGATAAAATTCCGGAGAGCACCAATGGCATCCCATACCAGATTTAAATGAAAATTCTTCAGTTATACTCACTTTTTTCCACCGCCTCATTTTTCTTTACTCTTCAAAACCGTATACCAAATAACAGGTGATCAGATAGCACTCTTCAGTTTGGAAGAATTGGTTGCAACGACATCGATGAGAAAAAATCACTAATTAACAAAACGAAATCTAACTCGCGATTATGAAAAGACGTTCGTCGACTTGGGGAACGCAAAACTAAACAAAAACAAACAAGTCGCGAACCGAGACTATAACGGCGAGGATAATCAAGCCTTTGGAAGGGGATCCGCAGAACTTGTCCAGCGAATCGCGAACAGCGTTGCCAAATATGCTGATATGGAAGTATTTCTACCACTTTCACAATTTCTTTGAAATTGGTGCTCTATTAAATTAAAACTCATTCGAAACAAAGCAATATTATTTATTTCACTCTTTCCCTTCATAATATTAGACAAATTTAAAAAAATGCATTATAATGTAACTACTGCGACGAGAATAAATACAAGAATACGTGAATCATCAGAAACTAGTTTCCATCCTACGATCTGGCAACGCTGCAGAACATACTGAAATAGTGCTACCATGTTACATTATACGATAAAAGGGCGTAATGCGGCTTTTTGTTTTGATCCATTTGCATTTTTTATTCAAATTCATAGAGAAATATCCGTGGAAATTACATCACTCTTGTTTTCGGTCGGGAAACAAACAAGAAAAAAACCTGTCTTACATTACGATTATTGACACTTTGTTGTTGTACAGACGAGACAGATGAAACAATACACGATCTAGAACATTGTACGTACTGTCAAGGATAACTCTGACCGGCGTGTAGGTACAAACATGTGCGCGTGAACAAATTCTTAACGTAGAAATCAAAGTTATAGTTAATTGGTAAATATTTAGTTTTTCTTAGACGCATGCATAAAAAAATCCGTTTATCACAGTAAAATCTGTAGCGCGTTACTGGTAAAGTTCGTTCATAGATTTAAGAGAATGACTTCCAAACAGTTCCGAATTGTTAATTCTATTTATTTATTATCCTTAGATAATACAATACACAATTAATAAAATTACATAATAATCAATTCCACATTAACAGTATTTTTTTTTTAAATAAAATAATAATATACCGCCCCCTCTCCCACACAAATCTCCGACCTCTGGGCTAATCTTTTCGGTTTCACTATCAGTATAACCACTTACGCTAATAATAAACCTCTCTGTTTTATTCGCAATATGAATGTATGAATGTTTACATGTGAACACATAAAACACAACTTTTTCAGTTACTTACAGCGCTCTGTTATCTCTGCTAAGAATATTATCCAGTTCATTAGCATTCAGAGTGAATTATATATTATTTACCACCCACCAGAAATATTTTACTTGTAAATTGGTTCCCAGTAAGAGATTATGTCATTCTCTCAAATCTATGAATGTACTTTAACAATTGAAAATCAGTATACTATCAGTATGAATAAACTTTTCTGTTTTGTTTGCAATATGAATGTATGAATGTTTACATGTAATCACGTAAAACACAACGTTTTCAGTTACTCACAGCACTCTGTTCTCCGCTAAAAATAATAACCAGTTCACTACCATTCAAAGTGGATTATATATTATTTACTTGTAAATTGGTTCCCAGAAAGAGATTCTGTCATTCTCTCAAATCTATGAATGTACTTTAACAATTGACAATCATTATACTATCAGTACAATCACTTACGCTAATAATAAACTTCTCTGTTTTGTTCGTAATATGAATGTATGAATGTTTACATGTAAAAAAACAACTTTTTCAGTTTTTCACAGCACTGTTCTCTCCGCCAGTTCAATAGCATACAGAGTTACATTTACCACCAATCATTTATTTATTTATTTATCACATTTGGAATGCAAACAGGCTTGCTGCCCAAAATCATAAAATCATAAATCATCAAAATCATAAATATTTTACTTGTAAATTGGTTCCCAGAAAGAGATTCTATCATTCTCTCAAATCTATTAATGTACTTTAACAATTGACAATCAAAGGACTGGAAGATAAATAAAAGACGTTGCTAAACAATTTAAAACAAAATGATATAAATATGGGAAAGTTAAAAAAATTATAAAACCAAGCCAAAGTAACATAAAAAAAGTAAGAAAACGGTATAGTAAAAGCTGTATAGAAATTAGATTTAAATTTTCATATAATTATCAACTTGACGTTTTGAACACAATTTGCTGTCAAATAATTATTTGCTCAAGTTGAATATTTCCGGATTTACATTCGAAAACACTTGTTATGTATATTGTCACATATACAGCAAGAAACAAATTGTTGCTTTTATCTTTACCTAGAAGTAGTAAATGTGAAAACCCATTTTGAAAATGCAATTCTATTTACCTCAAACTATTTGTTTCTCTTAATTTTATTGTAAAACATGCAGCGCGACACGTATGATTGGTATTCTACAGGAAACGACATTTTTCACACGAATCGAATGGCAAAAAATAGGTATAATACCTAGTTGTTTACAATTATTTCATAGCTCCAAGCAGATCAAGAAAAAAAATCGAGAAAAAAGTCGATTTACAATTTAAATAGCAATAAGATGATTGATATGGTTATCGTCAGATCTTGGCTGACAAAGAAATATGTGGTGTTTTTTTTGTGACACCGTTACAAGTTCCTTGAACTCTTCTGAAGAATATATGTAGTTATTTGTTATTCAAAAAATAGTCTCGACTGTAAGTATTATTAAAATATGCTTATGGTAGCGTTGATATCTGTTAGCTAACTTTTTAATTTCGAACATGACGCTTTCAACACCCTGTATACGGATTTAGATCTCATAAGAATTTTTAATGACTAGTGTAAATAAGCATTTAATTTCGTATTCTACTCATTTTTCCCCTATTCTCCCTTAAAATTAATGGTATTATGACTGAGTCATCCTGTATATGGATATTACAACTTGTCAGCAGATATCCATTTTTTTTTAAATAAATGGTTAATTTAAAATTCCGCAAGGGATCAAGGATAGCCACGATATGCAGTGTAAACAAGTCGTCAATTCTAAAACTGACATGCGGTTTAGAGTTAGCAGGAAATTCTTGATAGCACATCCTCTTTGGTGGCACGTACCGAATCAATCATTAATTCATTGCAGTCTGGATCGTAGTTTTATTTTTTGTTGCCCAAGAAGTTCAAACGCTGATCCGAGAGATCGCGGTGGTTCCCCCGATATTTTTAATTTTCCCTCCGTTGATGGTAATCTGTTATTGATACAGACGTAGACAAAAATCTACTCTCAAACTCGTTTAAAGTTGTATATAATACTTAGGGGAATTTTTTATTGTCCACGGATGAGAAAATATCAAACCAGGATATGTACGTCCATAAAAACTGTTCTCGGAAACTATCCCGCTAATAATTCAAGTAAATACTGTTATTGACTGTTACGATGACATTTACTTTAATAACTGTTTACGCGACGAGAACGTATTTACGACGTGCTAAATGTAGAAGTTTTCAGAACACAAATTGAAAAAGATTTATAGCTAATCGGTTAGTCAAATAAACAATAGACATAAAAAAAATTCGGGTAAGTCGAAGATTTGTTTTGTTGTGTATAGCGTAACATTACCAGCTGAAAAAGTGTTTCTGACATAATGAATTCGAATTACACAAATTCTTTAGTTTTTCAAGGTAACAACTAATAAAAAAAATGTTTTGTTAAAAATTGAGTACCGCATTCCTCGTACAAAAATGTTTTGCACGCGATAGTACGCAAAGCATATTTACGCAAAATTTCGCAAATATTTTCCTGTAATCTAATCTAGATTAATTATTCCTTTATTTTTATGCGTTATCAACAGGCATATATTACCTTTTACATATTTTTAGCATACTGAACAAATAGAATTTTACGTATGACGAAAACTTGGAAATAATCGCAAATATTTACAATAATTGGACTTATAATCAAAGAAAATACTAAATTTTTTTACTGTTTAGTGGCTTGAAGTGATATGATATCACTGATATCAGGATTAGACATCATGTGACGTCACCAATCAAAAGAGAGGAAGTTTTCATACTTCCCTTTCCCTGTAGGGTGCTTTATTATCATGAGTCCCCTTCCTCGCACGTTTGGGGTGCTTCATTATCGTGAAAATTCAAAAAAAAAAAGACCTTGAAATGACCTTGAAGGACAACAAGAAGGTCGAGTATGAGGTCACCACTAATTGCAATTAAATAAAATAACTAAAGTGCGTCCTTCGGAAATATCCAGCCCTCAAATTTAAATAACCTTTGAATGACCTTCAAGGTCAACCCTGATTTATGACTTTAGAGTTTTTGGACGTAAAATTTCCCGCTCTTTCGACTGCCGACGTCGAAAATGGGGTTTCCATTTAAAAAAATGAAGGTGACCTTGAAATAATCTTCAAGGTCATCGTCAAGGTCAAATCCAACAAGAATGATCCTAACATTTTTCAAAAATAATTTACCTGCGAAATTATTCAGGTGTTTACAGACTCTTTGGACACCCGGTATAATAAATATAATGAATCGTAAAGAGATTACGTCTGTCTCTATCTAATATAGGATACCTAGGGCGATTTTCGAGAATACTTCTATCATTTATTTTAAACGCTAAATAACAATGAAACAGTACGTTTTAGGTTCGAGAAATAAAAAAATGTGATAATATTTAAGGTGTTTCGTTTGAAAAATGAAGATTAGGTAACGCCCAGAAGAAATGAGACACCCTATATAGCGGAAAACTTTAATATGTGAAGGAACTGATTTGGCGAAATTTTTATTTCAAACACGTTTTTGTGTTACTAATATTACCAGAGCTATGATAACTTGTACATAGTGAAAAATACTTTTCTATTTTAGTTGTTAATAAGGAAAAATATAGTCACCTAAGGGTGCTTCACCATAAATTAAAACGATATCCATCAACTCCGAGTTGCTATACACGCAAGCCATTTTCGACACTAACTACTAAAAAACTATTGTAAACACTATCGCAACGACGATTGTAAAATCGGATTTCAGTATTTGGAGTGGCTGAGGCCATGTGGCTCTCCACGCGTATTGCGAATGACTCTAGAGACTACATTTGTCCAGCTATGTAATGGTTGAATTTACTACAACTTGAATAATTTTTTTCTCGGAAACTATAAGGATTTTACAATTTTTTTTTACGATATTGACTCCATTTCTCACACCGTATCT